ACAAATAGCAGTACAAGTAGAAGCACTTGCTTACTTATAGGGTACCGATACTCCTGCTGAATGAAAGCTGTGTCATAATAAAAAGTTTTGAACTTATTTTCTGAAAGGTTAAGCAGACAAAGTCAGGCTTTAACTTTGGATCTTTTACAGATGATATGCAGTAAAGGCATCAGGAAAGCTCTTACTGACAGCTGCATGTAAGGTTGCCTTCATTGTTTTGATAAAACATCTTTGTAATGGCCAAAACCATGGCTACACATGACGGTGAATCTTTCTTACATTTCTTTATACATCTAGTTGCAATAACTCATCTTAATTTACAATAATTTTGATTGGTTTAAAAAGATTAGTTTAATTAGTAAGCACACACATTTAGTTCATTTCTTTGTTGATCCACTGAATTTTAATTATGTTTAATCATCATCAGAACACCTGAACAAGCACTAATTGGACTGTGTGGGCCGGAGCAGTTCTTTAGATTCCTCAGCTTAATTTTCTTTTCTTTTTTTAAAGTTATGGGTTTTTTTTTTAAGTTTTTCCATTATTTTATGTCCTTCTTTGCCGTGACGTAGTTTTACAAACTGTACAGTGTTGTTTCCTGTAGGCTGTTGTATTACTTGTAAGTCTGATATGGTCTGATGAGCCAGTGTGTATGCAGTGGGGCCAAAAAGTATTTAGTCAGCCACTGATTCTGCAAGTTCTCCTACTTAGAATAATGAGAGAGATCTGTAATTTCCATCATAGGTACACTTCTACAATGAGAGACAAAATGAGAAAAAGATATCCAGGATATCCCATTGTAGGATTTTTAAAGAATGCATGTATAAATTATGGTGGAAAATAAGTATTTGGTCACCCACAAACCAGTAAGATTTCCTGCTCTCACAGACCTGTAACTTCTTCTTTATGAAGCTCTTCTGTTCTCCCCTTGTTTCCTGTATTATTGGCACCTGTTTGAACCCATTATCTGTATAAAAGTCACCTGTCCACAGCCTCAAACAGTCACACTCCAACTCAACCATGGCCGACACCAAAGAGCTGTCGAAGGACACCATGAAGAAAATTGTAAACCTGCACCAGGCTGGGAGAAGTGAATCTACAACAGGCAAGCAGTTTGGTGTAAAAAAAATAAACTGTGGGAGCATTTGTAAGAAAATAAATAAACATACAAGACCACTGATAATTTCCCTTGATCTGGGGCTCCATGCAAGATCGAAATGATCGCTAGAACGGTGAGCAAAAATCCCAAAACTACACAGAGGGACCTGATGAATGACCTGCAAAAAACTGGGAACAAAGTAACAAAGGCTACCATAAGAAACACACTACACCGACAGGGATGCAAATCCTGCAGTGCCAGATGTGTCTCCCTGCTCCAACCAGTACACATCCAGGCCCACCTGAAGTTTACCAGAGAGCATATGGATGATCCAGAAGAGGATTGGGAGACTATGATGTGGTCAGATGAAACGAAAATAGAACTTTTTGGTAAAAACCCAACTAGTCATGTTTGGAGGAAGAAGAATGAAAAGTTGCATCCCAAGAACACTATACCAACTGTGAAGCATGGAGGAGGAAACATCATGCTTCGGGTCTGTTTTTTCTGCAAAGGGGACAGGAAAACAGATCGGTGTTGAGGGAAGAATGAATGGTGCCATGTGTGAGATTTTAAGCCAAAAGTCCTGCAGGTTTCCCTGCTTCTGCACAGCTGATTTTAATTGAAAGCTCATTAACAAGCTTTTGCTCAACTGCAATCATCATAATCAGCTGTGCTAAAGCTGGGAAACCTCTACAACCTGCAGGACAGCGGCCCTCGAGGACAAACATTGGGGATGCCTGAGTTAGGGCCTTGAAGAGGAAATGTGGCTGGATCTTCCAGCATGACAATGATCCCAAACACACCAGTAAACAAAGGAGTGGCTCCGTAAAAAACATTTCAAGGTCCTGGAATGGCCTATCCAGTCTTCAGACCTCAACCCCATAGACATAGCGACAGCCTCGAAACATCATTGCTCTAGAGGAGATCTGTGCGGAGGAATGGGCCAAAATACCAGCTACAGTGTGTGCAAACCTGGTGAAGACTTACAGGAAACGTTTGACCTCTGTCATTGCCAACAAAGGTTATGTTACAAAGTATTGAGTTGAACTTTATTTATTGAACAAATACTTATTTTCCAACATAATTTACAAATTTCTTCAAAAATCCTACAATGTAATTTTCTGGATTTTTTTTTCTCATTTCATCTCATAGTTCATGTGTACCTATGATGGAAATTACAGACCTCTCATTATTCATTAAGTAGGAGAACTTGGAGGTACATATACATATATACATATATATATATATATATATATAGGTGAAGGTGATGGCTAACCAACCAGACATCGTGTTGATCGACAAACAGCAGAAGAAGGCAGTAGTGATAGATGTGGCAATCCCAAGCGACAGCAACATCAAGAAGAAAGAACACGAGAAGCTTGAGAAATACCAAGGACTGAAGGAGGAGCTAGAAAAGATGTGGAAAGTAAGAGCAGCAGTGGTGCCAGTGGTAATTGGAGCACTGGGGGCTGTGACCCCCAAACTGGGAGAGTGGCTACAGCAGATTCCAGGTAAAACATCAGAGGTCTCTGTCCAGAAGAGCGCAGTCCTAGGAACAGCTAAGATACTGCGCAGAACCCTCAAACTCCCAGGCCTCTGGTAGAGGACCCGAGCTTGAGGATGACACATACCACCCCACGAGGGGTGAGAAAACAGTTTTTTATATATATATATATATATATATATATATATATATATATATATATATATATATATACATATACACCTGTGTGCATCATTTGTTTGTTAGCTCGGTTAAGTTTTTTTTACTTTTCTTTGTGCAGTCACTTGGTTTGATCTCTGTTTATTCACACTATTTCATGAGCTTAGTGTTTGTTTTTGGAAGTTTAACTTTTTGAGTTAAAATAAAAACCCAATTTCTCTAATAAAACCTGTGAAACTGGTATCAGTATGGGTGTGTATAACTACTAAATGCAAATTAACACCCCAGAATTCAGATATCGATGTATGATTTATATGAAAAAAACAAACAAACAAACAAAAAAAACCATATCACCTTCCTTCCCCTTTAAACTGTGTGACACTTTTGCATGTGCCACTGTCACTGCAAACCTAAAATAAAAGACTGAAGATTTTGGTCATACTCCCACGCAGACTTTATGTTCTGCAAACAAGCTCATTCAAACAGGTTTCAAGGGGATATATTTTCCTGCAGGAAATCTGCTTTGCCTCGTTGCTTTGTGTCACAATCCCTAACTAGCTCCTATGTATTCTCTTTCATCAAAATCCATTTATTCTCACCCAGCAGGCACCACCCTTCCAAACCCTCCTGAGCTAATACAAAATCCACTGAAGCCTTTTAACTTCACACATAGCCTGCTCATGCATCCCTCTTCATTGCACCTCTTTCCTTCTTGGATCTCTGACCCTCTTTGATAAACAATCCAATTGATTTCAACTGGGCAGTGAGTCTAAGGGCAAGTGGAGCGTATCCCATTTATCTCCTCCCCCCTACCCTGAGTGCACGACTTTCTGTTTTCTCTTGCATTCTCTGCCACTCCGAGTAGCATGCCGCTCCTCTTCTGAACGCCAGAGCCGGTGCTTGGCACGAACTGCTTCAGTCAGCACAAATCCCCCCCAGAGATAGAAGAAAGTGAGCTTGAGTGAGGAAAATGAAGGAGGGAGGTGGGGGAGACAGCTACAGAGACAGACTGAGGGGGGAATGGAGAAAGAAATCCACAAACACAACATACAAATACCATTTTCAGAATAAACAAGTCTTTCCAGTTTGTTTGCACCCCTGCTCAAAATATTTAGTGTGCTTATATCCTTGAGTTTGCAGAAGAAAGAAAAATCCTGCTGATATCAAAGGAAATATGGTAATGACTTCCTATAAATCAGCCAGCAGAGTCCCAAAGATCTGAGCATGTTTCCCCACACAGATTTGTGAGAAAAAAAAAATGAATGTATGCATAACCGTTTCAATAATTTAGTTAGTATGGAAGCTCTGTGTTTTGTGATGAATGCAGTACCACAGCAACAGGCTCATTCGGTCTTCACACAGAGTGAAAAAGGGATGCGCAGTGATTTACGGGAGAAAACAGGAAACCCAGAGAGATCCAGGAGACCTCGAGGCTGAAACAAATGAGGGCAGGGAAATCTGCTCGCGCATTTTTTATAAAAATGTGGGGGGAAAAATGTGCCGAGGATCTTCATTTCCCTTTAATATGCGTTTCCAGCACTGATGATTACTTGGATATTAGCCAACTTGTTTTCCCTCTGAGGAAAAAAAGAGTTGCAACTTTGCAGGACTTTGCGAGATGAGGGGATACAAGTGAAGGTGAGCCAAATATGTTTTTTTCTTCCTCTTATCTTAAACCACCTGAGATTGTCAGGCTCTACAAGTTCTTAAAATTCCCCACCGAGCATGCAGGGTTATTTCATTATGCAGCTTACACTTTAACTCTTTGACCCCCCCCATGCCTTCACTTTTTTCCACCTCTTCTGCCGAACACTTTGCAGCAATCTCTCCTTCTTAGCCCACCCTCCACCCACTAACCGTTCTGCAATAAACCAGTTTAAATATTCAACTCCTCATATGTTATCCCAGTCATTTGGATGGTGGGTGTTAGAGACTGCTGCAGCTGCAGAAACAGAGCTCACACACACACACACACACACACACACACCTCCGCCTCCTCCTTTATGTCCTTGCTGCTTCTCTCTGTTGTTTCAGCAAAGCTCTGATTGAAATTGCACATCAACCTTTGTTTAACAGCCACAAGTGGTGCGTCAGATGTGTGAAGCCTTGTTAGCGGGGATCACCTGTCCTTTATATTTGAAGAAGATTTATGACTCTGGGTGTATTCTGAATGCAAACAACTTTATAATTAAGTCTGGATTCTATCTGAGGCCAATTTGTTGATAATATAAAACTTACCGGTCGAATGTTATACGCCAAGAGGACAAACTTCTTGTCTGCAGACACCTGGAATTTAGTTGAGGTCAGATCCTGCAGAGAAAAAAGAAAAAAGGCAGAGTTGAAAGTAACTTAGAAACTTATTATCTTGTTTTCTTTGATAGAAGAAATTAAATTATGACCAGACTGACTGGGAAAAATGGAAAATGGCTTCCTATCCTTCCACTGAGTTTGGGAAATTTTAGGTGAGGTTCTGTTAAAACAGTATGAAAATTAATATCTTACCTGCATCAGATATTTTTTTGGCATCAGAGACTGAAGCTAACAGATATTACAAGAACAACCAAACCAATGCGGACTTCTACCACATTTAAACAACCAAAAGCTCAAAATGTCCTCATGTTAAACCCAAATCCTACTTTAAGAACCTTCAAACAATTTCAATCTTTTTCCACAGAAACCATGAATTATGTAACATACCATATAACAATAAGGAGTTTACAAAACAAAATATTATATTTATTTATCTATTCACTCTTTTAACACCATCAATTATTCAATTATTTGTTCTATTTTCCGTAGATGTTTTTTAAGAAAAATAATTGTTGGCAAACTGCTTTCCTCGTCAGCAGAGGGTGGAAGTCTGCTTTGGTCTATTAGTCAAATAGGGACAAGCCGTTAGTTAATCACAGGGTCCAAGCAATCCTGATTTATGCAGAATGAGGATGCCAAGACAGTCATCTACAGCGGGTAAGACATTAACTTAAGCGTTTATCAAATCCTCCCCTTAATTTAAGTGTCAGTCTTGATGAGAACGATCTAAAGAATATGGAGATCGATTTTTCAAATCAATTTACAGGCTTGTAAAACCTCGGTTAAATCCTTTAACAAGTTCTCTTAATAATATAATTCATTAAAAAAACTGTCAGACCCAAACGTCATTCTAAAGCTGCTGCCACATTCTCTTTTCTGCCCATGTCGGCTGATATATCTAAATTCTGGTTTCATGTGGTGCTGAATGTGATGAAATGAAGGCGAATTTTATGCAACACCAATACTGTCATGTCTATAAGGTAGCTGTGTCATATAGGGGTCTGTATAGTGTTATGGCCACGGGAAGGAGCAGTAAAAATTTGCATTCAAAAAAGACAAAAAAATCACATACATTTAAAGACTGAGTTGAACTAAGAAAGTCTGACTTCCTTCTCCCAATTGACAGATGGTTTTTAAAGATGAGTAGTTGGGATTCCTCTTAAAAAATGATTGTATTCTTGTATTGCTATACAATACAATTTATTAAAGGTATCTGTAGATTAGTCAAACATCATCAGCATAGACAGTGAATGCTTTGTGTGATAATATCATTGGGTGTATTTCTGCAGAATATTTATGTGTTTTACTCTTTATACAAACTTTGCAGCTGTGTCTGTTTTATCACAGAAGACAAATTACACAAAAAGCAGACGGTGATTTGCTGGATTTATTGCAGACACTGTGACTCCAAGATTTGTTTAACTTAATGTTTAAATAATTTAAGGAAACATCAAAAAAAAAAAAGCAGAACTAAAAATGGTGACAGTCAAGAAGTGTATTAAATCAACTGCTCAATTAAGATAGTTAATAGCTTATGTTGGAAGTTTCTATAAAGAACCATCATGCTGATTTATAGCTTTAAGTAGCCGCTAAGAGTTTCCTGTGCAGAAGAGAAGTGTTAGGTTAACCTGTGCAAAAGTAAATTGCGCATTTTTTATAAAAATGTGGGGGGATAATGTGCCAAGGACCTTCATTTCTCTTTAATTTGTGTTTCCAGCACTGATGACTACTTGGATATTAGTCAACTTGTTGGCTAATGGTTTTCGTAGGCACTGAGGAATCTAGAAATTACTATCCAACAGTAAAAATGTGGATTGTAATAAAAGACATTGTATTTCAGATCTACTTTGAAAGAAATTAATAGAATATTCTCCGACCATGAAGTCTGTTCTTAAACTTAGCACCACTGACTAACTTCTACTTCTGTGACAGCAGCATTTTTGCAGAACATTACACTTGGAAAAAAAAAAAAGCAGAATATGCAACCTTGGACATTGTGTAATTTTGAGAGGCGCCCTTGATCTTTAAAAAAAACGAGAAAGCTGTGGATGTTACCAAGATATAACTGCATATTAACAAAGATAGGTGTACTGAACGGATTTGTTCCAGACTGAATGGGTCGCGAGGTTTAGAAAAAAAAAAAAAAAAAAAAGCAATACCAAAAACTGCTTTGCCTTGCACACCTTATGATATGCTTGCAGAAACAGGTCTAAAAAACAGCAAAGCAATTATATTTTAGTGTTAGAAAGAATGAAAATATCAGGTGATACAGAACTGAAACACAGAAACTGAAACATAAATCAAGTTATAGGTGACAGACAAAACATGGACCATTAAAGGGAAATAAGAGCAGTGAAATTAAACTGCCAAATGTAAGAATAGTTATTTCAGGTCACAAAATATATTCAGTTACGTCCTTAAAAAAACATATCTTTATTTATATGTATTATCTACAATGTATTGATCAATTTAAAAAGATAAAGAAAGCTCAGAGGTAAGTGGTATAAAACAAGATTCACAAAATCTCCTAATCTGTTTGTTAGGGTTGCTGGGGTTTTGCTTTTTTTCTGGTGTGAGTGAGCTTTTCTGTCACAGAGAGGATCTTTGCTGGTGGCTGGGTTGATCGGTGTTGTTGCACACCTGAGAACATTACTCAATATAGATGAAAAGGATCATCTCTCTTGCTGGATGTTGCCTCTGAATGTGTTCCAGTAAAAGCCCTAAAACCAGGAATATTTTTTGGGTTTAAATTTGTCTACTATCGAAAGTCTTTTAATGTGGACTCTCTTATAGTTCCAGTTAATCAGTGAACCTCAGTCCATCTCCGATCTTAATGGAAAAGGTCTTACATGTGTGCAGCAGTTCTCAGTCTTCATCGCCTGCCTGCCTGCTCCCCAGCACATCTTTTGTAAATACCAACACTCTCGGAGATCCCTCACATTCACCTGGACCTCTAAGGTACAGTCTGCAAACCCCTACAGATCCATACTACCTCCCCTTCATCTCTCAAGTCAGCAAATCAATCAGTGATCAGTTGTTGTCTACCAACTCCTTCCTAATCAGTCTGCTTTCTCCCCTAAATCAAACTAACCCAGAAAGTTCAACTGACTTCCTTCAATTCTCTGCTTCCAAATTATCGCTGCTTTTGTAAGTAAAACATTAAAATTCACTGGGTCTCCATGCGTTTCTGCATGTGGGTAAAAAAAAACTGGATGAACGCATTCAGCACCTCTTTGCACACCATCTATAAATATTCAACACCTACCGCCTTTAAAAGTTAAGTAGAACATTCGGTATAATGCCACACTTTCCAAATTTGTGTCTGACTCAAACCATCATCATAGGAAATAATCTTTATTCTCATTTGGCTTTTAAACATTTATTTGAGCTTGTCCAAGATGAAATGATTTTACAACTAACAGCTTCATAAAAGATTCAAATACACACATCTCAATTTTTTAAAGGGCCTATATAATATAAAATAAACTCTTAAGCTTTTGACAATGTTATAACACTATTCCTCTATGAGCATTTACCTTAATCAAACTGCATTCGCCGTGTAAGCAACCCTACTTACTCTGATAAGAGAGCGGTGATCTGATGGGGGGTCTGACCATTTATACTCAAAGTTGAGACAAAGTGCCTCCCAAACTGGTAAGTGACAGCCACTGTTGTTATTGGCTAATGTCTGAGTCAAAAAAACAAATAAAAAGAAATTCCACTGAGAGAGGTCTAAAAATTTGTTTAGTCTTCCTAAGGAAGGGTGTAATGACCTGATATGACATCATCACGCGTACGTCACCCACACAGGGATACTTGGTGTTGCAGTGAAGGCAAGAAGAAAACAACTAATATTTGTTATCGCAAATGAATACTTAGCACCACATAGTTGTGCATATATATATATATATATATATATATATATATATATATATATATATATATATATATATTTTTTTTTTTTTTTTAAGTTGAAGAATTTGTAGGTTGTCCTTTTACTCTGTATTGGTTCAGTATCACTGGCAATTAGACCGTCCCACATATGTGCTGTCAATCGCACATTTCACATAACTAGCTTAGATTAAAATGTTTTTTTGTTTTATCATAATCATATCTTAAAAAAAAAAAAAAGCCATTTGAGGAACAAAAATCAAAATGTTGCTGTTCCACCTCTGACTCCATTACAGCTCCGTCTCAGCTGAGTAGGGGAGAGTTAATCTATGTTAGAGAAGAGCAATTACCAGCAGTCTGTTCAGCCAGCCGGCTGGTGGATTTACATCAAAAATAAAAAAAAGAGACTCTGCTGCTCTGTGCTTGGTTCACAAAATTCACCCTTTATGTTGCCATAAGCCCAAACTAGGCAAGGCACACTAAAGCAGAGACAGAAAAGAGCTCAAAACAGGAGGTTTTTAATGCTATATGTTATATATATATATATATATATATATATATATATATATATATATATATATATATATATATATATATATATATATATATATATATATATATATATATATATATGTTCAACCTATTCTCATTATGAGTGCGTATGAAATCGTAGGAAAAGTAATGCACCGTAATTTCGTACGTTTTGGACGTTTTTTTCATCGTATGCGCATCTGATGCACCATTCACGAATATAGAATATAAATTACAATTAGCCCTGACCCTGACTCTAACCCTAAGATATAAAACAGCAAGCAACGTAGTTAGAGACATGAATAAGTGATGATTGCACTGTTTTTCCCATTTTTTAAGTCCGTCCGCGGATCTGCTTTTTTTTCCTGTTTGCCAGCGCATGCGCACTGATGTGGTTTTTTGAGGAAAAACGTCCAAAACGTACAAAATAGTGTGCATAACTTTTCGTACGATTTCATACGCACTGATAATGAGAATATGTTGATATGTTATTTGTTTAACTTTTTTGAGATGCCTATTTTCTGTGCATAGAGCCATATGAACACCCCTGTATGAACTCATTGTTGCAAACTCACCTTGGTGTAAGATATTGCTGGCTGCTTAGGTGAGTAGTATCAGCAGAATTATTTTTTAAAAGAGAGTATTATGGTCAAAGATTTCAATCTTCGTCTTGTTTAAACTCAAAACCTTCTGGCAGAAGCATTTGACTTTAGCTCTTTTCCCACCTTTTTTTAGGAAGCAGGTTACAATGATATAAAATAGCACTTGAGCAGTTTCCAGCTTAGAATAAGTTTGAACCTTATTAGTTTCTGGCTCATTGTTAAACATTTTAAATTTTCTTTCATTACAGGGTGACAGATATAAGAAAAATTCATACAAATATCTGAGGGAGAGGTAAAAATTTTGGCTCAGCGTGGGTCCAGAAACACGAGAACCTAATTCATGATATAACAGTTCATTATTGAAAAATGTTATTATTCATCCTTAAGGAAAAATTGATTTAAAATCATAATTTAAAGCTAAATATTAGATGTCATTGATAAAAGTACGATTTTGACTACAACTACTCATTTTTTTTTCATTGCAGATAACGATTTATAATCCAATATTCTTTTTTTCTAATCTATGTCCTGTTTTGAATTGTTAATTGAAAATTGACTCAGCCAACCATTCATCTGTGCCTTTTGATATTTAATCATTCATCTTTTTCTCATGGAAGCAGAAGTGAAGATGAGAATCCAGCACCTCAGCACAGGAAAGACCCTTATCATACTGACAACACAACCCCGCTCTCAGCATCCCTGCATTGACCCACATAAGTCTGTTAGTGTAGAGCAGAGGCGGCGCTCAAAATGCTGCCTTCGAATGGGAAGATCTCTTTGAAGGCACACGCTGAGGGCTCACAGAGGAGCCAGATTGGGGGGAAAATATGAGCTGATAGTGCCAACGTGCCAAGTCTTTTTTTGTCTAAAATGTTCCATGTGGTGCAGCAGGCCCCTATAGCATCTGTCTCTCAGTTTTATTTCCATCGACCTGTTTGTTCATTCTGTGAGTTAATATCAGACATGCCGTACTGTAAGCTGTCCTACCAGAGAGCTGTTGTCCAGGAGGGTTGTAGTCTGGTTGCTGTTGAGGGCGAATGTCAGGACATGTCCCTCTCTGGTGCGCAGGACCACTTCGTTATCTGTTATGGGTTCAGAGAAGAACATCTGATTTATCTGAGACACGTGCAGAAAATGAACACATGATGCGTGGTTTGAAATATGGATCCTCACCATTCAGCCATGCCGCACAGGGATCATGAACTTTAAATTCTTCGCTCTCAAGGTCCTCCATGGTCACATGGGAGCGGAGTAACAAGTGAGAATCGTCTTTAAAGGCAGAAAGACAGAACAAACTATGATAGAAGAGCTTATTTACATAAAAAAAACAGGGCTTGGCCCACTTTCTAGCATCATGCTGAGTTCATCGCTTCAGCATGAGGAATGGTTAAGCTGCAATTAATTCATCTTTCAGGAACAAATCAGTCTCATTATCCATCAAAAATATATCTAGAGGATGATTTTTTTTTTACCACAGATAAAATAAACATAACGACAGTGTTTGTTCATTTTTTAGTGTTCATTTAGAACCAATTAAAAGGTGCCCGTCAATTAAAGAATGCAATACAAATCAACAAAAACCAGTGGGGAAAAAACACGCAAACAAAGATGTAAACAAAGAACCAAACCAACCTCTAATCAACTACACAGATCAAAGGAAACAAGTGTTTCCAATATTAGCGCTATGGAAAGTATTAACCCCCTTTTTTTTCTTTTCATTTTTTCTGTAACACTTTTTAAACTCACATTTTCCATCTCAACCTGATCCCTATAAGAAAATCTAATCATCGTCTCTTTAAATTATGAACGGCTGTAATTTTTCTTTTCTTTTTTGTTTAAAAGCTGAGTTCTGTTTCACAGGTCCAGGTTTTCTCAATTATAGTGCTGCACCTTTTAGAAATGTGAATCCTTATTCCACCTGAGGCATTACAACATTATATTCTAATTATACTGCCACCTCTGGCCAAAACACAGAACAAAAGCACTCTTCTGCTTGTTCTTGTAGCTTAGACCTAGACAACTTTTATTGTAACTGTATACACAGAGTGTGTACAAAATGAAATTTGGTTTTGTACAGCATCATAACATTTCCATTTCTTAAAGTTCAGCAGTGCTCAGAAGTAAAGAGTGTGGGCGGAAAACCTTGCGCTTGTGCTCGTATTTGACAAGGTTTTTTAACAATTACATACTGTCTCTTTAATTAATCAAAACATTAGAACTTGACTGCATACTGAGGAGGTAATTCACCCATTTCATTCAGGCATGGAAACCTGGACCCTGGACACCAAGGGTCAGAATCCATTGTTCATTTTTTCTCTGAATCACTAACAATTTTTTCTTTTTTTTTGTTTAAATTGAGACTTGTGTATTATTTAGTCATCACTGTGCCACTTTAATCATGTAAATGGATAAAAAAAAGCAACATCTGCTTCACAATGGGTAGCACACACCAGGGGTAATTTAGAGGAATCCAACAGACTGGAAACTCCCTAGATACATATATTGTCATGTAATTACTTTATATTTATATTTATCTATACACAAATATCTAAGTAAGTGTATTAATTTTGTACGACATTAATTTCTTAGGTTATACTTTATTATTATTATATATACTTGGGTAATATACATTTTTTTTATTTATATAATGGGAGGTTTATTTATGTACTTTTAATTTTACAATTCACTGGCATTGAATAAACCAATATTCTCCTTTTACCCCGAAATCCCACATCCTCCATCTCCGTCCAGCAGCATCCAGACCTCCTGCCGCAAACCAAAGCCTACAGCCTCCGCTGTTCCTCCCCGTATTGCTGCGCTCTGACTTATCCCCGGAGCTTCAGGAGAGCATGTGCTATATTATCATTGAATTTTATTGGAGCAAACCATGCAGAAATAAATGCTTAATTTAATAATGACATATTAAAAAAATCCCCATCAGCATCCAGAATCTGATGGAGATGAGAAATCTGCTTCCTGGTCTGTTGAAGTACCAATAGTTTGCATCCAATCTTTTAAATAAACTGTGTTATTTTTTTGAAGTATATAAGAATTATGCTCTAATTTGTAGTTACCGATCTGTTGTTACTATATTTTAATTTGACAACCCAGATCTTCTCGCCGTTCTTTTTCCTGTTTGGTGCGATTGCAATAGCGGATCTTGACCTGGCCCAATGCTCTCATTAAGCCAGAAAAAAGGAAGAAAAACAACAAACGGTCAATTCAGTTGTTTTATAAACTACGTGAAACAGGAAATTGTCTAAATACCAAACTGATAGATTGTTGTTCTCTACTTCAAAAAACACTTTAGATTTTAAAACGGAAACATTTTCATTTTAAAATCATAAACACATCATTTTATTTCAGTGTTAAATTGTGCTTAAAGTAACAGATTATAATTAAAAATGTCTCCGGACCTTTACTGGTTGATGATTTTGTTTATTCGCCCCGCTGATTTTTAATTGGTTACCCCTGATTTAATGGTTATAAATATTTATTTCACATCATGTGCGCCATCCAATGCAGATCATTGGTGCCATCCACATCTAACGAAAACTAGTGTAATTGGATGAGTCATATAACGCAAACACTCATTGGTTAGCTAAAGGAAATCATCAGAAGCAATCAGGTGCTCTTCAAACTGCAAACGTGAATTGTCTATGCCATGCTACAATGTAGGATTCAGAAAAAAGATGTTGAAATGTCTGAAAGGTCGGATACAGGCGAGAGCGTATCGGGAGACGGAGACCAACAAGACCTCCCTTATCCCTGGCCCTATCTCAAAGAATTTTTGGAAATGGTCGAAAAATTGAGCTTTCAATTCATATAGTGGCATCTGGCTGTTTCTTTTTTTAAAGGTTACTTTACACTTTTATACTTTAAGTAGTTTTTGGAGCACATACTTTTTCATTTTTACTTGAGTAAAGAGGTTAAGTTGACACTTCAACTTTTACCAGAGTGTTTTTAAACAGCAGTATCTGTACGTCTACTAAGTAACAAATGTGTGTACTTTTGACACCACTGCAAAAGAAGTGTGCATTTAAAGTACACCTGCAGCAAAAAGTTTAGCATTCTGGAGGAGGTTTTCAGAGAAGACAGAAAAGATGCCGCTTTCAAGTTTGTCCTTCAAACCTGAGCATGTAGAGAATAACTTAGCAAAAGAAAACAGGCGCCCTCCAGCTTCTAGTCTTTCTCTATAGCATACTAATTAACACCTTATATCTTGTTTGTTTAATCATTGCTAAAGCCAAAGTCCCAGCTTATGGGGGTTTTATAATCTCTCAGAGACTTTGTGGCTAGGAGCAGTAACTTCTTCGAGTCTGCCCTGGTTGCTTGGCAACTGCTACAAGACAAAGAGTCAAAAAGCTTTTTTCAACCTCTCAAAAAGGCTGAACTGTTTTATTTATGCTGTGGTTCTTGTAAAGATTAAACAAATATGCATCAAAAGGATGGGCCAGTAGGTAGACCTTTTTAGCTTCAGAACATAGCCCCATTAGTTCTTCCTCCTATTTTACTCTGTAGGCTAAATTTGTTGCAGACTAATGGCTGCACACATGAATAAAATTGGTCCTTTCATGTAACTTTCAAACCTTTGGATCCAAATCCACCTTTTCCATTTTGATTCTCTACCTTTCCTCCTCTTCTTTACCACCTTTTTTTCTTACCAGGAGTGAGGATGACGACGGAGAGGATGACCAGAGACATAACCCCCAGGATCACCACCATGGCGATCCCGATGCCCTTCCAGTTCCGCGGGGGACCGTCTGAACTCCCCAGGTCCTGATGCGAGAGATAAAACAAACGCAGCGATGAACGTGAGCCAGGCTATAAGGAGAGGACATTAGTGCTGCTTCATTTCCACCGTCAGACAAATTGGTTTGTTGAGCCACAGGGGACAGAGACCAATCTGCAGCATTAGTTAGACTTCAACAAATTGCACAAGTTTTCAACTGGAGAAATGAAACTGTTGCTTTTAGGAAAGCAGGTTTTAATGAGTGTAGAAAAACAAAAGCTTTTTTCTTTCTTTCCTTTGCTTTATTTCAATAATGCACAATTTTCTTAAATGCAGTTTATTATGTACAGTTAAAACAGGGCTATGGCGAAATTTGTTCCCTGAAAATTACAGTAAAGATTTTTTTTATATTTGTTCGTAATTTTATTGTAAGTGAAACATTATTCTATATTCATATTCAATAAAATGTTTTGCATTTTAACAGGCTTTCCCCAACATAGTTCAATGTGACTCATAAAAAAATCCAAGAACAAATCCATCCAAAAACTAAACATATGGAATGTGTAAACATTTTACAGAAAAAAGAAACTGTTAAACCAGAAAAACTATTTCAAAATGCGATTTATTTGCAATATTTAATCGCCTACAATGACAAGATAAATGATTTATCAGTTATCAGGCTCCTCTTCTATGGAACAAACTACCAGTTTTAGTCACTAAGACAGACACCCTGTATACTTTTGAGGCAAGGCTTAAAACCCTGCTTTCTGATAAAGCTTATATCAAGGTTGGCTCAGGTTATCCTGAGCTATCTCTATTGTTATGCTGATATAGGCTTGGACTGCCGGAGGACATAGGAACCCCTTTTGATCATTCTGCTTCATTCATCTCTATTCTCCCATTCTGCAGTATTTGTTATTTCAATCTCTCACATTATGCTCACTCTGCTTTTTCTCATTATAGTAGCTTCATCTGGTCTGTTCCTGTTTGGCGTGATTCCATCCCAGAGAGAAATATAGTCAATAGTTTTGGCTGATCCTGACTATTGGCTCTAATTTTTGTTAATTTAATCTGTGAGGAACAGCAGCGGTTGTTTGATGGCTGCAGGCGTGTGAAGACGAGGTACAATAACTATTAATCTCATTCCTCCAGTAGAGGTAAATAAAATGATCTCGTTCTAAAGTGTAATTTTAATTTCAGTAAAAATGTAAAGAACAACAAATAAAAGTCTTGAATAAGCTTAACATGAGCATTTTGACATTGTCTGAATGAGTTTGGTGTTTAACTTCCACCCAGAGGTAGGTCCAATGTTCTCAGTTGGGAATCAGGCATCTTCCCCAGAAGAGGAAGGGAATACGGCCCAGTCGGCTGCCGAGGTGAGATGTGCTGAGAAGCACCAACTACTTGTGTTCTGGCAGGCTTTATGCGTAGGGTTGCCACATTCTGTAACATATATCCCCCACACTGAAAAAAACAAGAGATTGGTGGGAGAAATTACAGGTCGGGAGTATGGAGGAAGATATAATTAAAAATCGTGTGTCTCTTGCGTAAATCTGGAGCAACTGCTAAGTATGGTGATTTTCTATATTTTGTCTTTGGATATGTTTTTATCTGTAGAGCTAGAATCTTATGCAATTTACTTGCATTAGCGAATCGTTTTACATCTACTTTAGGTAGATATAAAAGGTTCAAGGGGGAGTTTGTATTCATGTTTGTTTAAAAATTGAAGAAACAATTAGAAGTGTTAAAAGTATTGATCCCTTTTGGACTTAAAGCTCAGGTGACATCAAAAACTCTGCCTTTGTCATTTGTGAGATCTATGTTTTCAACTCTATTTTGAACTTTATGAACCATGTATTCCACAGGAGCAGACCTCTAACATGCCTTTGAATCTGCTCTGTGCTGAGCAGCTCTGTAGATGCACAGTTTCATTGTCTTTGTTTCTTTCTCCATTTTGATCCTTTTAAGGAATGTTTTACACATGCTGGGCTTCATTCACACCAGTACCAACAAACTAGAGCTATAGTGAACAATTTTAGTTTCGTTTTATGGGGAAATAAATTAAATTTGAGGGACTGTGCAACTCAGTAAAGCTCCAGATGTCTGTTGTGTGGCCTGTCTGTACAGCAGGCAGTAGTTCCTGTTGTCTGTTACAATGAATTTTAGCTTTTTCCACACCTGGGCTCAGTTTTGGATTGTCATATTATTATTTCCATTTTATTCAATGCAAGTTAATTTTTAATGTGTTTAGTCAGCCTGTTTGTACTGTTTCTAGTTCAACAGGTTATCAATCTTTTGATCTACAAACTCATATCGAAAAAATTATTCACTAACCATCATCTGCTGTTAAGCAAATGTAATCTAGACATTTCTCTAAAATTAAAATAATAAATTTTGTATTAATCGTATTTAAATCATCCATTATCTATTTCTTACTAGTCTTTGCAAGTTTGAGGAAAAGGCTGATGCCTATCTACAACAGTTAGCAAGGGGTAGGTTATACCATGGACACAAACACTCACTAACTAAAGAAAAACCAATGAACAATTTTGAAGGATGCCAATGTTCCCAGAAAGAACCAATATATGCACTGTGAGAACATACAAACTCCATGCTGAAATACTCTAGGCCTGATCCGAACTCAGGATATTTTCGCAAGGCAGTGCAACTGCATGGTTGCTGCAGAGTGACACGACTAGACTCCTCTTAACTGCTTACAAAAAAACTACAAACCTTATAAAATAATTAAAATTGGAATAATATTTTTCATTTCATGCCAAGGAGGGAAAACTCCACTCCTCCATTTTTTTTCCCAAAGAGAGGAGGAAATTTACTGAGAGAAAAAAATGAACTCATCCTTAATGAAGTGTGCCTAATATCATAAGAAACAATTTCTATAATAGAAAAACTGTTAACATGTCTCATAAATCCAGATAGAAAGATAAAGAGATTCTGATTGCATTTCCTCTTTGACATGGAGACTATTTTGCTCTCAGATTTGAGGAGCTCATCAGTTTTGTTGAAGCTGATTAGAAGGCAAGACTCTCAAACTCCAATCCTATGGGGATGCTGTCTGGCTACCTTTAGTGCACCTAAATTAAATCTGAAATGACCTCCTTAACAAACAACCAAGTACATATCCCTTTCTATAAGCTGATTATTTGATTCAGGTGGGCTAAGGCAGAGACGCATCTGAAAGATGCCCTCGAGGACTGGCGTTTAATATGCCTGCTGTAGGGATATATTTTCCTGTTTCTCTCTTTTTTTTCATCTGGTCGATGTCATAATTTGAATACAAAGCAAGAAGAAAAGAAGCCTGACAGAAAATAAGTTTAAATTCAAAACACCTACTGGACTTGGTCAGCTTGTTTGGAGCAGCATGTCAAAAAAAGAGCAGAAACGAAGCAGAAAGTAAAATGCTGCAAACGGTAAACAAATTAGCTAATGGTGCATCTTTTTAAATCTTTTCAAATATTTATTCTAATTATCTATTCATCATTAAGTTATCGTGAAGTTTATCAAATTAAAGTGTCTCCTCTTTTGTTTGACTGAGCCATCTGTCCTCCAATCAGTTTCTGGCTTGCCAGCCTTACTATTTAACAAAAACCCTAAATTCCTTTGCAGGTTGATATATTTTGATGTTTCAGGCAATGATTATGAGAGAAAGCCTTTATTTGTGTTATCAGTTCTGTCTGATTTATGTCTTTTGGGCTGACTGGCTACTTGCCTCTCCTTGCTTTTATAATTAGATGCAGCCAATGCCCCTTCCACTCTACCTCAAAAGGAATTGCTAAATGGAAGAGGGAAAAAATGAGTTTTTCAACTAAAACATTTTCTCTAAGGGGGAAACAGTGGCGTCGGATGTAGGAGTTTGCCCTGTTTGACGGTTCAAGCCCTGGCTCTTGCTTTCAGTGTCGTCGTGTCCTTGGGCAAGACACTTCACCCGCATTGTCTACTGATGGTGGTCAGAGGGACTGTTGGCGCCAATGTAGTTTGCCACCATCAGTGTGTGAGTGAATGACTGAATGTAGTGTAAAGCGTTTTGGTCAAGTCTCCTGACTTGAGAAAGTGCTATATAAGTACAGGCCATTTACCCTTTTATGGCCGTATCTAAATCCTTATATTCTGCAACACTGCAGTGGAAACACTTTTTTGCATCACACGAGTCACGTCATCTGCATCTGGACCTTACTGCCTTGTAAGAAGAAGAATATGAAGAGCAAAAGCAGTTGGACGAGGATGGCTTGCACCTTTTACGGCTGTGTGTTTATATCCACCACACTGCTATGCTATTTACAAATGTTTACGTGTGGACAAATGTATTCACTTGCATTTCCCTTTTAATGGAAATACATTAACGCTCCTTAAAAATCTCCTTAATCTTGGCTTCAGACTCTGATCACATTATGGACTGTTTATACCTGCTACCAACTTTACAAGTAATGTAATAACATGTTAGTAACTACGTAATTTTCTTTTCTTTTTTCGAAAAGGTACTCTTAAAAAAACAAGTTACTTTTTCCATTTTGTAGCAGTGCTACCTTAATTGCAATCCAACGCAATACATTACTACACTTGATCAATAAAAAAATATTTCATAGGGTGTATTCTCTCTACATTGGTGAGAGATTTTTACTGCAGAAAATTCAAATATGAATGAAACAATGGTTAATTAATCCACCAAACTTACTTCTTCCAGTTAAACTAATAATTGTGATAATAAACTAATATTAAAGGTATACTATGCAACCGGTGTTGATTTTCCAGTGAGGCTCCCTCCAGAGGGCGAAAGTAAAAGTGCACTGTCGTAAATATGCTCAGCTGTTCTCCTGGTTTCTCCGTCAAGCCAGGCGCGGTTGTTTTGAGCTTAGCAGCGAATGACTAACGCTGCGTTCACACTGGATGTAGCTGGCGCGACAGAAGCAGCGAGTTTACATGCAAAGGTCCCGCGGCGCGTTTTGAGCTGCAGGCGCAGCACGTCTGAGCGGCTGCAGCAGCGCGTCGGGCGCGTTTAACGCAGGGAGAGAGACACAGCGCTGATGATCAC